GAGAGGAGAATGGAGGAGAAGGGATTGCGGCGTGACCATCCCCCTGGGGGGTGATTTCTCGCTTTCTGTCTCTATGTCTGTCTCTGTCTGTCTGGCAAGCGCAAGCGCCCTATAGTGAAAACCTCTCAAAAAAAAAAAAAAAAAGGACTGGGGAAGTTATGCCCACAAACATTAACAGACCATTTATTTTCTATTAACAGGATTCTTCCTATCTCCTATCCCTGGCATAGTATCTTTGAGATGTATATTTCAACCGATTACTATATATATTCTCTTGCTTATCTCTTCCTAAGACACATCTTTTGCTTATCTCTTCCCAAGACACATAACTTCCCTTTTCCTTGAGATGTAGATTAAGCCTTTCTTTAACTAATCTCTTCCCAAGACACAGATCTTCCCTTCCAATCACCAACCTAAGAATTGTGGAACCCACCTATAACCTACAAGCCTCCCCCCCAAATCTACATGTCCTACCTTTTTGGGCCAGACCAATGGAAAAAAATCTCTTCACTGAGTGTTATCTGTCAGTCTCAAAAACAAATAAAAGGAACCCCTGTACATGATCACCCTGAGAAAAGGCATGTATGTCTCTTCTCCAGACCTAGGTCACGCACGTTTGGCTTGGAAATAAACCGCATTGAGTATTAATTATTGATTTTTACAGTTGGTTATTTTTCCATCCACAACCCTTACGTTATATATTTATAATGATCATCTTGAGGATTGTGACATCCTGAATAATCTAAAAATAATAATGGTGTGTTTCCTGGTTAATAAGGGTGGAGGGAGTACAATATTAATCGTACATTTTGAGGAAGAAAAATCTCAGAAAGCAAAGTTAAAACAAAAATTTTTATTAGCCCTCAACTAACCACAACATTCTATTACTTGTAAAACCTACTTGTACGTAATTCAAGCATTCTGTCAAAGTTTTATCTAAAACAGTGTCTTATATATTACACTCCTACCCATAAACTTTCAGTGACCTGCAATATTGACACTGTGTCAGACCTGCAGTTCTCAACTTGTCCTTACCTACTGTGTAAATCTCCATTCCAGGGGATTTTGCCAGGAGCTAGCAGGTGGTTTGGTGGTTAAAGTGTTGGATTCTACATGGCCCACAGCAGAGCTGGCATTCCAGACACAGTGCTTGGAAAACATGCCAGGCAGGGGCCAGCAGGTGGTGTAGTGTGGAGAGCGGCCATTCTGATCAAAGGTGGTGACCTTCAGACATGCAGAAATGCTGTTCTGTGAGCTTCATTTGCATATCAATTAACTATTTGCATGTGAGTGCAGTAGCTGCCCAGGATGTTGCAAAGCAGTATCTGTCTAAGGAAGCCACGGTGTTAATTTAGATTTTCACCCCAGAAGATCAGAAGAAAAGAAACCAATTAACATCCAAAAACAACTAGCTTTACATTTAATTTCCTCTTCTCCCATTTTCTGCCCTATAAAATAATAAACCTGAGGCTGGTTTGGGGTTGCAGCTTTCTCCATCAGAGAAGTTGGGCCCACGAGATCCTCATTTTTCTATACTTGTATGTCTTTGTGTGTTTATGTTTATTTCTAATCCACAGCACCCCCCCATTCAGAAAAATGTGTTCTGCCAAGCAGGTCCCGGCAGTGTTGTGGTTAGAGCACTAGAGTCCCACAGGACTGTGGTTTGAGTCCCGAACCCAGCAGCTTAAAACTCACACTGGGTAGGGGACCGGCAGAAGGCATGGTGGTTAAGGCGCTGGACATTCCCACATGGCCAACCACAGTTCGAGCCCCGGACCTTGTGGCTTACTTTCTCCTCTCTCTCTCTCTGTCTCTCTCTGGTCAAATTAAAAATAAATTAATGAATAAATTTTAAAAAAAGTAAAAGAAATGCTTATTTAAAAAAAAAAAACTCACACTGGGTGGGACTGGCCGGTGGCGTGGTGGTTAAGGGTGCTGGAATTCCACATGGCCGACCGTGGTTCAAGTCCTGAGCAATCTGGTGGCTTGCTCTCTCTCTCTGTTCCTGTATGGTCAAATTAAAATAAATAAATAAATAAAGCTAAATAAAATAATTATTAAAAAAAAAAAAAGACTCACACTGGGTGAATGTGCATTCAGCTAGCCCTCCTAATCTGTTCTTTAAGAACTAGTTTAGGGAGCAGGAGGTATTGATAGTTAAGGCGCTGGACTCCCACATGGCTGGCTGTGATTCAAGTCCCTGACTCAGCGGTTTGAAAATCACACCAGGTATATGTGTATGTGTGACCAAAATCCAAGAGAAGAGATTGCGGTATATCCATTCTTCCTTAGGGGTGACTTCTCACTTCCCTTTTGTCTATACCCAGTAAGCGCATACACTCTATGGCAAAAATGTAAAAGAAAAAAAAAAAACCTGACACACCATTGGAATTGCTAAATTATATTTTTAATACATATTGATTTTGTACAGTTCTTAATATTGTTAGACTGGAGGCCTGGACAGCTTGGATGTAGGGGTTGGACAAAACGTCCTAGTTGGCTGATACAACCCGGAACTAGCCTGTCATCAGACCTGCACTGCACTTGGATCTAACCCGTATGTAGCACATGGCAAACCTCACCCAGGAGTGATCCCAATGAAAGCTCTACATTTCTAGTTTCTCACGTGGTCAGCCCATTCCTTACATTTGATGCTGAAACCCAGGAGCATACTAGCAACCTCCCTTGTAGCCACCGGAATTGGGGGGGTTGGGGAGATTAGCCCACAGCGTCTCCACCTCCTAGGACCTAGAGGAAAACTCCAGTTAGCCATTGAGGCCTCGGCTGCCTCC